TGCAAAGAAGGACATGACATATCATTTCGGTAATCGTCAGAATATTTAGATAGATTGCGGTTTTACCAGTTTCACCTAGTACCTTCAAAATTGTCATTAAAACAAGATGCGCCGAGAAAAACTCGTCAATGCCATTTTCCTTGACTGATCAAACGTTGACAGTTCTGTACCTCGAAATATCCTTTTCAAAATTCTCAGTGAGTTACCTGTTTTCACCGTTCCTTTCGACTTGTAGTCGGACATTTTTCCAACAGACGTCAAATTTGTTCAACAGGCTAGAATTGATTCTCAATCTTCGTTAAGAAAATCTCTGAGTTTGTCAGAGGACATTCTCCAGTGCGCGGTACCGTTTTCTATCTTCAAACCATTTAACACATTCACAGTCCTAGCGGTTGCTTGAATTCTGCTGACTACATGACCATTATGACTCTTATTAATACTCATATAATAATCCAGTGCCATACGCGTCTCGCATCATTTCGTTCGCTAAAGACACCTAGCGCACAGTACAAATGGTGTTTCAGCAGCTGGTGCAACTTTGATGCTGCTGTTTAAACATCACAAGCTGTTCGTACCCCGGTAGCTTGTCAACTCACGAACGACTGCTCCAGAACTAGGTTTAAGGGCGTATTGCTCGAACTCCTTGCTCGTAGTTGCGTGGGCGGAGGTTCATTTAAAAGGCCGCGGATCCATGTTATTTGAGCGCCTGCAGTTCCAAATTCGTCTCGCATCATTTTGTTCACTAGAGCCATCTAGCATGCATTATGAAGGATGTTTCAGGAGCTGGTACTCCATGTGCTACCGCATAAACATCAAAATATGTTCTTACGCTTATTCATCCACGGCTAGGTTTCACGCATGTGGCTTAAAACCCATATGGAGGTAATTGACCTCTAATACTACGTCGAACGATGAAAGATTTTGTAGGCCTTCTAACTAAAATGGATTTCGCCTCAATTTATAGAAAACAGTTTTTCCGCTGAAGTCCGCTCTAGATGAAAATAGCTGAAATTTTCATGGATGTAGCTTTGGTATATTATTTTAGTCTGTTCATTTCTAACTCGTTCAACTGGCTTGTGAATGTGCTCATTCAGTGCAAGAAGCTTGGCATAACCTCATTTGTTACCTTGAGGCATCCAGTGATATGCCATTATTACCGCTTATGTTATCAGTGGTCGGTAAAACATAGTTTAAATCCTGAGAAATGTTTAATCATATTTGTCAATCTTTTGTGAGAGAATTTGAAACGTTGTTTGTTTTCCAGCAAACAATAGAAATATTTGAAGAAGATACGATTGATAAATGTTGTTGCATGTTGAAAAAGGAAGACCGTTTCAGATTTCAGAGGCTTTGTAACTTTCCTAAGCTTTAGATCGTTCTTACTGCTGTTTCATATTCGTATTTGCTTGCTGGTATTATTTCTGCTGAAGACCTTAATTGCGTCAGTGCTCTTTCGCGCTTTTATGCCGCTCCTGTAGCTCTTGTTATTCTTTCTCTTCTGAAGCAGTTTCAGACTCCTTTCATGTAGCCGAATTTACGTAGTTTAGCCGCACTGCTCCTTTACTTTTAGACATCTAGAAAAGCAGTTTAGGCGGGTGACGATTCAGTAGTATTTCAGCACCTGCAACGCATCGGATTCAGAACCGCATGTTTCAGTTGCGCTGAACAAAGACGGTCACTGGGAATTTCTGCCAGTCGCCCCAGAAAGTTATAATTTGTTTATGTATTTGCCTACCGAAAGTAACATTATAGTCGGTGTTCAGACGGCTCTTTCTTCTACTGATCTAAGAGACATATGAGGTTCTACCTCCAGTGTGCTGAAGGTAATCAATTATCATGAAATCAGGGACTGCCAATTGGTCCTATTAGACGTCTAGAACCTACTAGACGTTTATGAAACAAATCTGGTAGAATAAAGGACATTGCGCCAAACGAATTTACGACTTGATAAATGACTGTACGGGCGGAATTGAATCTGCTTTATTTGGGAATCACCCCAAAACAATTGGGTTAACTTTTGTTTAAGGTTTCAAAATGATCGGTATTTTTTCAAAACCACTTACTGGTCTCTCAGTCATTCCACGTTCCATATGGACCTGCCAACTGCTTAGCCTTTCAGTCACATTATGAACGTTTCTCTATATTGCAGAATTCAGGGTATTCCCTTGATGCTTAATCCTCTTGCGTTGTAAATTGGTCAGTTGTGTTGAAAGTCATTCATCCAGCTTCGGAACAGTTAACTTATATCTTGAATAAACCAGTGCTAAATATCTTATCCCTCGTATCGTCGATGACGAAATGAGCATTTTATCGAGTGAAATTTTTTATTGTTTTTCGCCGCGTTTCTGATTTCTATTCGCATGCCTTGCTGTAAACCGAACTGAGATATGCGATTTACCTGTACTAACAATCTACATTAGTTTTATTAATTTTTCTCGTCCTTAATAGCTTTTTGTCTTGTGGCCTGAGTTTACGAATATCATAAATTTGATAATTTGTTCCATTATCATCCCTATCTGCTGTAAGTTGTGAAAATCCTGCTTTTACTTATCCTCCACCTGTGTATCATGCTCTCTTAGTATCTACCTTGAATCTTGAACCCACAAGGTAAGATTTTTCTGCAATATGGGCATCTATCGCAAGATTGGTTAGTTTTTGTGTAAAAATCGTCTTATGTGTCTCGCGCTAGCCATGGAATTAAAAGGAATGTCCGTTTTCAGTTATCCACCTCGCGAAGTTGGTTGAGTTTCAGGGGTTATCTGACAAAGTCTCCGAGTATTGGCTCTGTGCACTGGCTTTGTCGTATTCGGGCCCGACTTTTATTAGATCTCATGCGCCATTTTGTATCATCCGTTTAAGACGTTCCGTGTGACAACGACATTTGTGTTGTAGGCATGGTACTCGGTGCGCTGGTGAGGTGTCTGCAGTTGCAGGGAATAACTGGTGCGGCGTGGGGGTGGCGTTCAACTCGAAAATTGGCGGTGAGCGATCTGCGGCGTTGTTGACAGTGTTGTGCGTTCGTATGCGTAATGTCTTGCTTCAGGGGTGCGAATGCTCGATGGCCCGGTGACAGATAGAGTCGAAGCGTCGGCGCTCTCACACAACCAGAACCACATCGACATCTACTCGGCTAGCTGGGGACCAGAGGACGACGGAAGAGCCGTCGACGGCCCTGGTAGTCTTGCCAAGGCAGCTTTTTACCACGGCATCACCAAAGTACGTTCCGTTTCTTTTCGTTCATAGCAAGCATGTAGGCGTTGTCTGAAACAGCCGTTGTTTCCTGCTGTTATCTCTTTTAAATAGATGAAGAGCCTGCGATGAGCACTTGAAGGTTTCAGCGTTTGAGTTTCAGTTCACGGTCCCAGCTGCTAACACACAGCGGAGTCGTATGCGAAGAATGAGTGATATCAGTCCGCAGTTTTCAGTCCACCCTATTTTGTCAGCCATATGACCATGTTCGACTAGCGGTACCGTCATGGTTTTGCACGCCGCTGCTGAACAAGGTCTAAATGAAGCATGGAAACTTAAGAATCGCACCCGTAATACTACGCCTCACTGCACCTACTTTCCATAATAGAAAACTACTGGTGGCAAAACGGTACCTGAACAAACTCCGTTAATCTCCTTTGTTAAACTGTAATCGTGAGCATCGATGTTTCATGCAGGTCTAACGTCACGTCTAATCAGAAATAATGATATATCAATAAAAAGGCAGGGAAAAAGTAAATGAATTTTTACATAGAAAATCAAGTAAAAAGAAAAGTGAAAGAATTGAAAGGAGTAGACGAAGATGACGAATAAAAATGACGAGAAAAATCCAGAGGAACCAGAAGAAGAACAAGAAGATGAAGAAGAAGGAAAGAAAATCAGCAGGGAAGTAGATCAACTGTTAGCTTCCTGTGGCTGTTCATGACCCAGATTTAAATGCACACTGACGATAGTGTGCCGGCTGACGAAACGACAGTCTTCACTAGATCAAACAAAGGAAGAAGAATCAGAATATAGTGGAAGGAAAAGAATGACAAAAGGAAGACCAAACAGAGGAAAAAGACCAAGAAAAAACGGAGCAAATTGAAAATGAAGAGTTGGAAGAATGGAAGTAGAATTTAGGTGCAGAACGTGGAGAAAAACTACGTTAAAGAAAGGTAGAAGAAACAAAAAAGGTAAAAAACGTAGAGGCAAAGGAAAAACATCACGAAGAAGAAGTATTGTAATCAGATATCAGAAAATGAAGCAAAATAGTAACCATTTGTCAGCCTGCAACATCGATGGTTCAGAATATAAAATTTCAGTGACATGAAAAAAGGAAATTCTTGACAACCGCAGCGAAAGAAAGTCATATGCATTTTGATAAATGGGTTTCAGGCTGAGCTTATGTCATAATTTATGTACCTTGGTGGATTATTATAATCGATGCTGTGCCTCTGATGTAGAATTGCGGACAAATGTATTCTTACAATAATGAAACGGCTGACCTAGTTTCGAGGGTAAGGTACGTGTACTTAAGGTATAAGATAACCTTGTATCATTTGCTTTCTTTACAACTTGCTGTTTCTTTCTGATCGCGGGGGAGCCAGCCTCAACAGGTTCTTGTATGAGTCTCTCGTTCTGTTACTGATCACGTGTGGTGCAGAACCGTGAATTATGAGAATAGCGTAAGGACGCTATTGGTATCTGAGATGACCGTTTGAGGAAGCCAAAGAAGTCGCTCGACTTGATGGACTGCTTAGAGACTCGGTCAGGAAATAACTGAGTAGAGCAAACAGCAACATACAGAACAGAGGAAAACTGGCAGAGGTGGTTTTCAGCAGACAGAAGAAAGACAGCTAATTGATTGACTAGTTGTGGATACAACGGTTACAAAGGAAAACGACATCCAAGGCAATATGAACTTGCGATTTGATAATGGAGGAAGGAAATCATAATGATGGAGGTTTACAGGTCTCGCTAGCAATGCTGCTATTAGCATAAACTATTATTTTCTTTACACGATATAAAATATGAATTATCGCCGCTGTAAACTTGCGTTTGGACTTCTTAAGAGACCGAATAGTTTATTGTTGTGTTGGTAGTCATACCAAAGGTACCCCTTAATGGTTTATTTAGCGTAGCGCAAAACGACTGTTTATCGCTATGATAAAGTTAAGTTCTTTGTAGTCGTTAGGATGTCGGTCTCCCTTATACTTTCATGATTTGAGAGTAGGCATTTATGGTGCCCTTCATTTCATAAAGTTAATGGTGAGGTGATGATCTTTGTTTCCATGCCATATTCTTGGAGATATATTTGTTTAATGCCAGAATGTACAGATATGTCGCAAGCGTAACGTGCAGTATTCTGTCTGCTTCTCACAGAGTGGTACTCATCGGCCTCGGAAAGAAGTAGGGCGAGTGGTTCGACCGGATCTCGAACCCGGTGCCTCTCGGCTTTGAGTGCTACACCTACCGACTGAACAATATCTGTCTAGACGTTAGGCTTGTTCCCGTGATATACCACCACCGACGATCCGGAAGGAGGTCATCGGCCTACCAACCTAAATCTCGATAGAAATTTATGCTCATGGTAGCCTATCATTATTTAGCATTAATAAGGGCGTGGTCTGCAATGTCGGATTTCAAAGCGCTGTGATGACATCGTTGCCCTGGGCAAGAGGTCGTTGAAGGCTGATTTAAGCTTGCAGCGTCTGCATGCATGCTTCAGCTTTTGCGTTGCATAGATGTATCGCATATCCTAAAAAACTCTTGACGAACAAGTATCGCTTTAGTCACTCAAGTGATGGGTCTACTTTGAAATGCCACCGGTATGCTTCCTGTGTATTTTCCCCTGGGCATCTACAAGCAAAATGACGATGGCGTAACGTCACACGCACGGTTTTGTGCAACTGTGCTCTTGAACTAACATATGCCTAATGGTAATCATTTATTCTTATTTAGCGTTATGCTATTGTATTTTGCGACGATAGTGATTAATGTTTACTGTAATAACCATGATTATTTTTCACGCTGCGTTTGCGAGTAGGAGCTTTAATTAAACTACAATTAACGTTTAGGGCAGAGGAGGCAAAGGCAACATTTTTGTATGGGCCTCAGGAAACGGGGGCATTTATGGCGACAGCTGCTCCTGTGATGGCTACACGACGTCCATCTACACCTTGAGTGTCAGCTCGGCGACCAGCAACAACGAGCGACCGTATTATCTGGAAGAATGCCCGTCGACGTTCACCACTACGTACAGCTCTGGGTCCGCGTTCGAACCGGCGATCGTAAGTATCTCTCGTGACTCTCAGGTTGTTTTCAGTTTCAGTAGATGTTTACAAATAAGTGGATTATTTGACACAAGTTTTCATGCAGTACACTCATACACTGCGTACTGAGTAGTGATATCATCATCTTCCATCACCGCTTCTCCTTTCGCGTCGCGGAGGCAAACACGTCAGACAAAGGTTCCAACGTTCCCGATCCTCTGCCAGAGACTGAGCTTCGGCAGAAGACAACTGGAATCTGGAACAGACTCTTTCTATATATTTGCACCAGGTTAATCTTGACCGTCCTCTGGGCCTTCTGCCGGTCAGATTTGCAAGGAACGGTTGCTTAGCCTTCCTTTCTGGAGGCATTCGTAACACATGGCCAAACGATCGCAGCTGTGACTTCTCAATCTGGAGAAGCAAAGGCTGTATTTCAAGGCTCTTCCGGATGTCACTATT